CAAACTTTTATGATATCTTCAAACATATATTTTATTCAAAAATAAAAACATTATCGCTTTCTCAAAATCACATAAAGCCATATTATAATATCGACTGAGATAAAGAAKAAAATGAAATATTAAAATCATGATKTATCTCGCTGCATTGCGCGAGTACGCTTCTAGTATATATATATATTTGGACCATGCATTGGAATTCTTGGCACCCTTTTTTTTATCACCATCTACATTCTTCCTTATTTTTCTCGTCTCCACATATATATATATATATTTTTTTTCATGAATTCCTTCTTAATTTGTTCTATAGTTGTTTTCATAAAAAACTATTACTACAACTACAACTGAAAGGTCTTCCATAAACAAGTCAAGCACTTGTTCATCAAACGTAGCCAACATGTTTGGGTTGGTCCTTGAATCGGTTAAGTAAGATATGGATTTGATGATATTGCCAAATATTAATATGGCGTAAGTCAAAAGTCATTGGTTTTGCATTTGACAGACATGGGCCGATGTCGAATGGTTGGACGGGTTGGTCAATGTCTTGTAGTAGCGAATAAATGTACTCAAACATTACTTTAACTATTGGGATCGAGATGTTGTTTCCTTGAAGACCTTCGACTTCTGCATGAAACAACGATATGTACAAATAGATAGAATAACAATCTAATGGTATGTGTACGACTTAATCATCTTATGAGGTGTGTGCACACAAGGAGTTTATTTGCCTACTATATACCCTTCTCTTGATATCCTTGACGCTGCCTCCTAATAAAATATTTATTTATTAATTATTTAATTTTTGTAAGTTAGCAAATTTATTTGTATTCATATGTAACATTTTTTAAATTAATGCGACAAATTTTTTAAAATTTACATTTGGTTACATAATCGATAATTTTACAAAATTCATTATATGATGGTTATGTCGAAGCGTAAGAAATTTATAATAACATTATAACTATGATATCAAATTCAATAGATATAAATAATTGAAAATTAATTAAATGATTAATTAGTTGACTATAAAAAAACAGGATGGATGGTTTGTTGGATTTTGACTTTGGAAATGAAATTCAAGTCTATTGCCTAAAATTTATAATAACAAGCGCGGTCTTTGTTACTTAATGAAGAAAAAGATCGAAAAGTTTGAATTAAATATAAAGTGGTAAAAATATTACAACAACTATGGTAGAATTGTATGTTCGAATGTTTGTTTTTGTAAGCATAAAGAGAGTTGCAATATATTGATTCGGAGAAAATGAATATATAATGTGAAAAAAATTTGGGTTGTGATGAAGTATGTGATTTAAGGAATTACTAAGTGAGAAGTTTAGAGATCATATTTTGTTATGAGCACACTATTAAATTGCGAAATGGTAGAAAATACATTTGGTAGATGTAGAACTAAAATTCATGTTTTTAGTTGTCTTATTATAAGAATAATATAGTCGTGTAATATATTGCATGTGAGAAATAAAAGTATAACGTATAAATAATTATTGTCAATTCGGTATACTATTAGGTGAGAGAGCCACATATTACTTTCTATCATGAACAATCCAATAAACTTGTGACATGGTTGAAAATGTGTTGCTAGATGGCATACTTGTTTTTATGTAGAAAAAGTCATTACATGAAATGTGTTAGTTTATATATTGTGTCAGTGTTATCGCTAAGCAATATTTGATAGTTACTATAAATCTTGAGGATGTCGTACCTGAAGATCATGAATTGTTGAAAAAATAGTTTGGAAGACTTCCTTGAAAACAATATTTTTAATGAAAGGTTTGATCTTCAATCTCATTGTCGGCATTTAGTATGACAAACCCTTCACGTGATGTAACTCGTGATACAACAACATACAGTTGGTCATGGGTAAACACTTGGTTCGGGAGATACAAGCCAATATGGCGTAGTGATTGTCCTTGACTTTTATTTATTGTCATGGCAAAGCATGTTGCCAAAGGAAGTTGATGCCTATTGAGCTTGAATGACATCTTGTTTCATTCGGGGACATGATTATTCTCGGAATTGTATCATTTTTGCCAACATGTGTTTCATAAATAATATTTGCTCTGATGAACCATTTTCCCAATTTTGTGACAATCAATCTTGTGCCATTGCATAACCCCTCTAATTGATTTAGATTTCTAAGAAGCATTACTAGAGCTCCTCCTTTTAGTTGAATGTCATGGTTTGGGACACCATTGAATTTTAAACTGTGCAAAAATCGATGGATACAAAAGATCTTCTTCATTAGTTTCTACACTTGCTTTGCACACATTGTTTGAACTAAGGTTTGATAGATACAAAAGATCTTCTTCATTAGTTTCTACACTTGCTTTGCACACATTGTTTGAACTAAGGTTTGATAGATACAAAAGATCTTCTTCATTAATTTGTACACTTGCTTTGCACACATTGTTTGAACTAGGTAGTTGACACCTTCTCATGATGGCATGTCCATAATTATGTTGTTCAATTCATGAATGATTTCATTTTTTGGTGTCAATATCGCTCTTTCTTTCAGATATGCATTGTTGTCAAAATTATCCAACAATGATGGATACACAGCTTCAATTGTCTATGAAGATTATTAAATCAATGTCAATTATGTAGTTTAAATTGGTTTTGAAATTGCTTCTCAATCTTATCCACAACTAATTTAATAATTGTCTAAAATTTTCAAAATACACAAAATCAAAGGCCAAAGTTTGTAAAGTGTGCAACATTTAACGTGTTTGTATTTGAGTTGCCCTCTGTATATTAAAATTGACATGTTTTGTAGTTATCTCCTTCTAATTCGTCCTGTTTAAAGGATTCATACTTAATGAAAATTACAAATTCTTTTCACTATTTATTGTTGATCTAATTTGTTCTTCTTATT